ATTAAGGCACGGTATTGGAATGTGGAGCCGGTTTTACGGCATTTTTAGAGGAAAGTGAATTGATTTTGATCATTATAAACGTATTTTTTACTTCGTGAGTGATCTTTGGTGTCTGATCTTTAGCAAAGCTTTGGAGCTTTCTTTTTTTTCTTTTTTTTCTTTTTTTTATTTTTTATTTATTTTTTGCCTTACAGACATATATTAAATGTTTACAGTACTAAACACTACTGAAAACTAAATACTACTAGCAATATTCACTATACTTGCACTATTTACAATATTGGCTATACTGACAATACCATCCATACGATGCTCGTACTACTAATAATTACAATGGTTACACTACTTACAATTCTAGTACATCACACGCACACACACACCCACATAAACACACACACAACAAAAAACAAAAAACAAAAAAAAAAAAAAAAAAAAATAGTTAGTAGGTCAGAGGAGTTATTTTTCATGTCTATTTTATAGCTTTTCAATTCTGTATTTAATTATCATTTTACCAACGAAGTCTTGGAGGAGAATTGGTTTGTTGTGTAGTTTGTTGGCGTAGATGTAGTATCTCATAAACAACATGGTATAATTGAATTTCCTTACTAGTACCTTTTCATGTAAGTCCGAGAGGATGCCGAACAGTCTTTCTTCGCTAGATGGGTTGAAATTGATCTTGTTTTCTATATTGAACCAGTTGATAACCCGTTGAATGAAAATCTTGACGAAATGACAATCTCTAAAAGTATGATTAATAGAGTCTTTTTCACCACAATATATACATTCATCATCTTCCTTGATTCCATAGCGGTAAAGTTCCTTTTTGGTGACTACAATTCGGTGGATTAATTTATATTGAAATTCCTTTAATTTGGTCTCTCTACAGACGGTTTTTAGGGAGGTGAATATTTTTTCCCATTTATCTTCATCCAAGGAAAGATCTTTGCTCCATCTCTGTGGCCCAGAATGACCTGTTGTGTGGATTTTTGTGCATAATAACGTATAGAAGTCGCTAGTCTTGATTTTGTTCAGATATAGAGTTATCGATTCATTTAATTGTAGACTAAGATTATTATCAGAATATAACTCTTTATTAATTGGCTTCGTTGATTTTGCTTTGGCTAATAGGTGCTTTGGGATAGCGCTAATAACTTGATAGTATTGAAGGAAGTTAGTTTTACAGGAATACTTATTCGTAAATTCCTGGTAGGTCATTGGTTGACCGGTATTGTGTAAGAGATCTTGTATTGACAGGATACCTTTTTTAAACCATTCCCTGATAAAAAAGGTTTTACTGTCAACAAGTATTTCTTTGTTGTTGAATAGAATTATATTTTGTGCTTGATCAAAGCTGTACAGAGTTTTTAATTCACTGAAGTATACTAGAATATTTCGGTAAAACAATGGAATAGATTTTATGTATTTCGCATCGTAGTTACATCTCAGTAAAAAGTTCAAACCTCCGAATTTTCTTAGGTAATAATCAGGAACTGTTTTCCAATTCTGGTTCCCTGAAGTCAGTAATCTTGGAATCCAGGCTAGTTTTAGAGCTTTAAACATTATGTCGATGTCTACCATACGTATTCCGCCTCTTCCCAGATCCTGATAGAGCCCAGTTCGTTTGATTTTATCCCTTTTGTTTTTCCATAAGAAACTAAAAAGCTTTGTTTTCACTGTGCTTGCGATATCTTCAGGAACATTAAGAATTGAAGCTGAATAAATTAATTGTGACAATCCTAGGGACTTAATTATCAGTACCTTCCCAAATAGTGTGAGGTCTCTAGATCTCCACATATCCAGCTTTGTTTGAAGTTTTCGTATTTTCAGATTAAAGTTCAATTCATTGTTACCCTTCTCATCATAAGAGACATGAATTCCTAAGAGGCGAACCGGACTATGTAACCATTTTAGTTGTAAAGGATAACTTTTGTTTTTTTCCCATTTTCCCAACCAAATTGCTTTCGATTTCTTTATGTTTAACTTGAGACCCGCTAGCCTCCCAAAATCTCCCACCGTTTTCAAAGCATTTCCAACGGAGATCAAATCTGCACAGAAAAGGTTTGTGTCGTCTGCGAATTGGCTCAATTTGATTTCGTGCCCGAATATTTTGATTCCTGTTATACTTGGTTCTTGTCTGATTTTGCTGGATAATATCTCCGTGGAAAGCACAAATAAGTACGGAGAAAGGGGACACCCCTGTCGCACTCCTCTTGACGGTCTAAACCAGTTGGTCATGAAACCATTGTTTATCGCCGCGCTCTCAATTTTTGTATAGCTTTCGATATTATATTATTTGAGGTGAGCACGGTGGTTTAAATCCTATCTCTGAACTCTTTAGTGGTCCTTATCAGCCATATGCAAAGCGAAGGAAAATTGTTTAAAAGAAAAAGCAAAGCATACACTTTGACTGAAAAGCGAGATAAAATCAATACATTTGCAAATTACCAAAATATAATTAAGTGAAAAAGGGTTCCACCTTTAACCACCATATTTTTGTTCTTTCTCAAAACCGCAACCTTGTCCCCAGGGTCTTTTTTTTCCCAATATGACGGCGTCAGGAAAGAAGACCCTGGGACACAGCAGATCACGCGAACAAATCTCCAAGGTTAGCATTAGGTAACATCGGCTGAAGTCAGATTGTTTCTTTCAAAATTACATGAAGAACAACTTAAGTCCAACTTTACAGTGTAATATAAAATGAAATAAAATGAAAAAATCCACTGTAATGCTTTGAACCCGGGTCACTTGCTTTACAGCCTACATCCATATCCACTACACCATCGAGCACTAGCTGCCAAATCCAATAATTTTTAAAATATACATATTCTTATGCCGTACCCAATTACAATATTTGAAACCTAACCGTTTTCAGTTCAGTGCTTAACCCTAATCACTGCAGATCAGTGCTTAACTCTCTATTGTGTTTTCTCCATAACTGGCGCTCTGTAGTTTTGGTTTCTTCAGCTATTCTAGCCCCATTCTACATTCAAGTCTCGTTCCATTATGGAAATAATGCGTTGTGTAAAATTCATAAGGTGTCCAATCTGGCTTCACTCGATGTTCTTTAACGCTAACTAACTAATCAGTTCTGAAAAAAGAAAGAATCCACTTACGTTATAGTGATTACCGTATGTACTGCCCTCGGGGAGCTTGATGCCAAATGAAATCGATCGTGTTATTAATTTTGGATGTGAGTGTCGACGAAAAATCTCTGCAGAAGCTCCGTCATTAATACTGGAGCAATTAGCTGTGACAAATTTTCCTTCATAACTTTTTCGTTTTTAACGCGATGGCCGCGAAACTTTGCAAGGAACAACAGATATCATTTGGCAATGGTACGAAATATTCCCATTTCATTGATAGTAAATATTTTTTTTGAGAAATTAGCGCTTAAAAGGACCCTATTGTTCAAAGAAAATCGCGTCTAGTAAAAAAAATTGCTGATCGATTTTTTACTGAAATTTCTGGTATCGGCATATATTGATATGATAAATATGTCGGAGAAATTTCAGGAAATCCTTCGAGCAGAAGTCCGTAACTAAAAGCCGCTCAAAATTCAGTTGTGAAATTGTTTCAAAATTTTTAAAAATAAATTACTATCAGGTAGAAGGAGCCACCAGTTTGAATTTTCGGGACAAGTAAATTCAATATTTGCTTATTCTGGAAACAAAAGCCGATTGCCTATCGTGCTATTCTTTAAAAGGTACTTTTTAGTTTTTTAGAAGTACTATAAATTGCTTCAAACCTTGCTCTGACGTCGAATGACCTGTTCCTCGACATTTTAAAAATATCCCTTTGCAGTTTTGGTTCAAACGCCTGTTACATACATCTTGATGTATTGCAGTGCATCCTCCGATGGCTTTTCCTGCTGTACGTTGCTTTCAATTCAGCAAAAAGGTATCGGGATTGTAAGCTACCTTGTATCGAAGCTCAGAACTGTGCAGCACCTTTGTTTATGACCAGAAAATGAGCACGAGCAGTAGCTCTACGAGGAATTCGCACCTCAGCCAGAGGGGGAACGAATGAGAATGATGCCCATGTCTGCGAACCGATCTAAACATGTATTGCAGAGCAAAACATAATAATCAAGAAAAAACTACCCATTCATTGAAGGAAGGAGTGATAAAAATTTCAGAGTTGTAAAATTATTCACGGGCAGTATTTTTGCGATGATTTTATTTTGCTTTCTGATGTAATTCTTTCACACTTAGCGATAGCTATAACTAGTTTACTGTTCATTATATCTACTCGAACGTAAGTAGCTCCAAGCCTGTTTTATCCATACGAATTCGCTTACTTCCTATTTTGACAAATTGTGGCCTTGAATCTCACGTTTGCCGTTTACGTCTAATATCTATTTACAAATCAATGTAATAAAAAAACCTTCACAGAGTGCCAATCGTGCCAAGATCAAAAGTACTGGGGGATGTTATATTGAAATGACAATTTTACACAAACAAAGAAAGCCGGAATGAAAGACTATTTAAAGAATCTGGTTTAAGGTCGGATAACATTTTAACATCCCCCAAGGCAGTCTATGGCTAGAGTGTGACCACCACTCAAGTGGAAGCTACGCTATACTGGGCAGTAATTTCCTGTGGTACGGTTTAATATGCTGCAAAGAAAAGCTGTTATCCTGATATTTCTATTCCAACGTTTTTTAACGGGCGTTGTTAGCTTGCCTGACGGCAATCAATCTCTACCAAGTGGAATCCTTTTTTTTTCCTCGGAAATCCGGGCAAGGTTTCTTTAAGATCATTTTTAAATTGCTTGTACGTGCTTAAATAATGCCCATAAAGAAACCTTTGAAAGAGGCTCGCTCTGCGGCGACATGAGGTTTTGTTGTTTGCACGGATAATACGATATCGACGGACGTAGCTAGTCAAGTATCATATCAAGAGACGGGCGAACATACTATATAAGCTCGCTTTTCAGTCTTCCGATCACCTAGACCATCCCATTTGATCTCTAAGAGACGTTTTTTTTTACTCGTAAAAGAAATGCAACGAAGTGCAGCTGAAGGTTACCAACAAGCCTCGCTTTCCGAGCAAAAGGTGGACGGGGAAGACTTCATTCAAACAGATGTCTGCCCCAAAGCTGGAAACGTCATCTTGGATTTAGGCTGCGGTACAGGAGAGCTGTCTGCATACCTTGCTGAGTTGGTAGGACCCGAAGGAAAGGTTATTGGTGTCGATCCTGACAAGGAAAGAATTCAGCTGGCCCGAGAGTCTCACAAGCAAGTCAAAAATCTCTCTTTTGTAGAAGGGAGTGCTTCAATCTTGCCACTGCAGACTGGCTTGGGGCCCTTCGATATTATTTTCAGTAGTTATGCCCTTCATTTTATGAAAAACAAGAAGCAAGTCTTCGACAACATGTTTAACAGTCTTAAAGCTGGAGGGAAAATAACGATTAGCTACCAGGACTGTTTGCCTCCGTTTGAGTTCAACGCTTACATGCTGCTGAATCCAGAGAATGGAGAACGTATCTGCAACGAGATGTACCAATGTGAGACTAAAACCAAGATTGAACATTACTGTTCATCAGCTGGATTTCAAATTGTCAAACATGACAAATTTTGCGCCTCAATTGTTTTTGAGTCCATCCAGAGTCTTCTGAAGTGGCACGGGTCTGTTACACACGGCGTATTGGATCTTTCGCTTGTCACTGAAGAGCGTTTACAGAAGTATCTCGCTCCATACGTTGGCGAAAATGGGAAGCCTTCCCTGGATTTCCGAGGAATTAAAGAGGAATCCCCTGTGTACCGATTGGTGGCCGTCAAGTAAGTCACAAACGCCCAAGAGGAATACAATGGATAAGAAAAAAATCCTTAATGATAATGTTCTGCCTTAACTTGTCAGTAGCATTTGTTTTAACTGTATACTCACACTTTGCGACCTGACGACAATATCCTTCCAGTGGCAGATTAAATTAGTAATTATACTAATTTCTAAAACTAATAACACCAGCTCTTTACAAATTAAATCTATTTGTTGTTGTTGTTTTTATAATAGTATTTGGAAAATCAAACTGTTTTTTCTTCGATCCTATAAAAACTTGAGAAGTGTAGAGCGGTTTCGCCAACTTGTCATCAGGCGCTGCAGTAAAAAAAAAAGAAAACCTTATAATGCTATAATAAAGACATATACACAGGAATTTACTGCCCCATGACTTTCATTTGAATGCTCACTGAATCAGGGTTTTCTATAACATTTCAAAGTAGGGGATTCATACGTGAAACAAACGGTCGTCTTGGAAAGTCTAAATTTGGACTTCCAATCTAGACAATCGGACGTAAACCGGTTGTCTGTGCGAGCTTTCTAGTTGCCCATGGCGCGAACTCCAAAGCGAATCAAAAGTTTGATTTCCTGAAAAGCCATTTCCAACTTTCCTGGAACCTGAATTGGTTAACCGAGAAGGTTTTTGGAAGCTCTAAAAGCTAAAAATGCATGACTCAACAGTACCTTTGATAAAAAAGATTACAAAATTACGCGATTCTTTTACTCTTCAAAAACTAATTAGGGATATACTACTTGACTTGAGAAAGGTTTTTCAAGCAAAGCACGTTAACCACCAAACTTAGCGACTTTCCTTAAGATTTATCTGGAATTATTTTTAAGTAATCCACAGACTCCCTAACCAAGTACCACAGCAAAGTATACTGCTCAGTAGTTCTCACTGGAATGGCACCTTCGGGATTAAATGATCCTTAATACGTCACTCGCCTCAAATATCATATCGGAAGTTCCAAAGCTTTCCTAAAGATCTCCAAAGATTACCAGTTAACTGATTACTCATGGGAAAAAGCAAAAGATGCTTTCCTGTTCATTTTAAAAGTCGTTTCGGCTTCTCACGAAACAAAATAGTACTTCATGCGTTATGGCAATCCGTAGTCTATTAAACAGTTTTCTAACGAAAAAAGTCCACTTAGAAGAAAAAAAGGGATTAAGAAACGGTATTGGAATCTGGAGCAGGTTTCAGGGCATTTTTAGAGGAAATTGAATTGATTTTGTTCATTATAAACGTATTTTTTACTTCGTGAGTGATCTTTGGTGCTCTTTAGTAAAGTTTTGGAGCCTCCGATATTATATTATTTTGAGATGAGTGCGGTTTAAATCTTGTCTCTTAACTCTTTGGCGGTTCTTATAAGCCATATGCTCTGCGAAGGAAAATTGTCGAAATTGGCATAAAATGTCTAAAAATCCTATGATATTTATCAAAATTGGTGACGTGTGGTGTAAAATTCGTTCGGGCTCTGATAGGCCTTCAGCTGAGAGCGCCATCATCGATAGATATGCAAGGAATGATGTGTGGACGACGCTGACCGGTACTGAAGGGGACATCAAAACAACAAACAACTAAACGAAAAAAAAAATAAAAAATAAAAACAAAATGTTGAGGATAACATTTTTCGAAACTTTTCCGAAGTTTCAAGCTTCTTGTAACAGACAAACAAATAGCAAATTTTGAGAGAATTTACCAAAATCAAAGTCAAATCATTGGAATATCCTGTAGTTTTCTAGAAATACCGAAAAAATAATATTCCTGACCTGACTTTTGTAGCAGGGACTAGTTAGCCATCAACACAGGAATAAGTAAGCCAATCACAAAGCAGCCTGGGAACGAGGGTCTTGATTGGTTGGTTATAAGGTTCTGGTTGAACCATAACCTTCATGGCCTCAAGAGAGCAAGAGCTTACTCGCAGGCTAATCTTGATCCTGAATCAAGTAAAAACCTATTGGTGGCTACTAACATTGTGATAGATCACATTATCAAAACCGTAAGTCACTTATTGTCTTTAGAGTATTCATTGTCGTTAAATCTAGTCAAATTAAAATAGCATCCAATATGAGTTATTATTAAGACGAGGAACAAGGATGAGATTTCTCAGTATTTCTGCGGTATTAGAAGTTTTATCATTTAAAAATAACCATGCTCAGCTGTCTGGTGAAAAAGAGTTCAATGGAGCTTCCGGGGTGTCTATTTTTTGAGAATAGGCGAAAAACCTTCAAGTTAAAATCTCGAGGTCGACCTCGAATCTTAAGGTGGCTCGACTGGATTTTTTTGGGGGGATACCTCCCAAGTTTGAGCATTAACTACGTCGGCATGAGTAAAGATATGGGAAAAAGGTTACCAGTACTGTATTATACAGTGATGAAAATTTCTTATGATGTGGGTTTTATTGCAATCGGAGTCGCCATGGCAACGTAATGACGCCATTACGCTTTTTATTTATCTGTGTTTCTCTGTACCAGAAGTTTTTTGAGGAAATCGCTTAAGGGAGTATGTACCTGCCATTATTGTCTCCATTATGGCAAAGTTTAAACAAATTCTGTGACAGGGTTTTCGAAATATTTTGACAGGCAGTTTTAACAATCATAAAAACAGTGAAATAGCATGCTATCCACACAATTCGCTAATATTTTAAGAAACTGATAAGCTTTCGAAACGCGGCTTCATCCCATAGTGGTTTGATTCCATTGAAAACTGTATACAAAAAAAAAAGAGGGGAATTGCATTGGGCGATCGCGAGCAAGAAAAACTTTATTAACTTGTATTCAGCTGCTTTTGTTATAGTTTTTGGACGTAATTTGGTCCATGCCTACAAATTTCGCATTTTTCAAAAAACCGCTCGCTAAATTTTTTTATAAATTCGACAATCTCGAGATCAATCGTCAATAAATATTTCCTGCAAGTTTCAAGAAAATTGAAAACAGGAAAGGCTTTTAAATAGGGCCTCAAATATAACCAATTTTCCCCCCAGATTTTGTGTTTACAAGTGAGCGTCCTCATTATTCACTAGCATTGTTTTCAAGTTCCATATATACCTAATTGCAATAACGTTGTCATAGCAAAAAGCAAAAAGCCAAAAGCCAAATAGGAATAAATTAACCATGTGATTTACATTTGCGTATTTTAATTCAGTAGTTAACAATTATTTAAGAATTCATTCACAATAACAAGAGATAATTCTGTAATTCCGCGCTGTAAGATAGACATAGGCGCCATAGTCATTTTAGAGCCAACATTCTCCATCAACATGTACAGACGTCGCACAATTCGAAAAAGAAAAAGGTAAATTGACGCGAGCAATGTTATGTCTTAGTTGTCGCACTTTCAGTCGCCAATCTATTATGTCCTGACAAACGAAGCTTGGTTTGTGGCTCAGGTGAGGAACTGGCGGAGGACCCCCTTACCCTCTCCGCGATGAAAAGTCCTGCCTACGTCCCTGATTTGCTGCTTCAAAATTGTGATCAGATGATGTTGTGCACTGCAAACTATACGCAAACTGGCTTTTCTATTTAGCACTAATCTAAAACACGCTTTGGGTTCCTGGAATTTACCCCAGGCTATATTTATTGATAGAAAATGGAGCCATTATTTCTTTAGTAGTTATCCGATGTACCTTTGTAATTCAAGCACCTTTGAAATTCAGTGGAAGAATCAGCCTCGAATTGCATTAGAATGACACCAAGAAGCCGGCTGATGCAAATAATTTCTCTCATATTACGTGATTAATATTCAGCTATAAACGTGTGTGTTGTGAATGTTGCAAGCTATGATAATTACATGCTAATTAATTCCTATTTAACTTTTTACTTTTTGCTTTTTGCTTTTTGCTTTTTTCTATGACAACCTTATTGCAATCAGGTGTACACGTGCACATTTAGCAAAAAGATAGAATTTGCATCAAAAAGGACCCTCGGTTTAAATCTCCGGAATATGCTAATTACCGGGTAAAAAGATTAGTGATACATTATAATATCAGAGCAATTCTTTGTAACAGTTTCTGTGATGTTATAACCCGAGTAAGGTAATTAAGAGCCAATGTCTGTAATTTTCGAGAATCGGTTGACAGTCGTGAATTTTTGAATTTCTTCATATTTTGCCCACGTAATCTCTATAGTACACTTATTTCAAAAATCACATTAAAACTTGTAACGGCTTTTTATTTTTTCCTGAATCGGGCAAAGTTTGAAAAACGCCAAATCGGCGCTCTTTCGAGTATGAAATTAGCGAAAATTAAGCATTTTCTTCGTGCTTGTACATAAAAACGGGATGACATCTCTAAATGAAATCAAGTCACAAGGAAAACACAGACTTGTACTTTATAATTCTGCAATTATCTTTAGATAAGCTGTTTAAATGTGACTGTGTTGGCCGCAAGAAGAAACACGATTTCGGCTCTTTTCAAAAATGGCAAATTTGACCTAACTTCACCATCGAGAAAAACAACTGATACATGGAATTTCAACATGAAACAAACACTATTTTAAAGCATATTCTTTTCTGTTTCTTGTGTTAAAAAAATTTTGGCGGCATTACAAAAGTGCGTCGCTGAGACACCGAAACGTGCAGCGTAGTTTCGCACGTTGGAACGCTGAAAACAAGCTAGCCGCGAATGTAGGCACAAAAATGTTTTTGCTAACTTAGCTTCTTTTACAAGGGGCACATTACGGGAAGCTCTAAAAATCTTTTGAAAAACGCTTTTCAATTTGATGGTTATAAAAAAGGACTAAGTAGATTAACAAAGCATTTAATTGCACGCAAGTAGCTGAAAAAGACAACGCTGTTAAGTTCTCATGGAGTGTAAATATTAACTTCGAGTTTCTGCACCTAAAATAAAGCCGCTAGAAACGGCGTGCTAGCTCTAAATAGGATTCGAGATCTCTAATAATTACTTACCACAGTCGTTTCAACCGCAAGTGGTCGCAGTTTACTGAAATCTTCCGTCGTTTAGCCTCAGACTAAACGCCGTGATGCGTGATGAAAGCCCGTGTGTAATTTGAGTCTGGTCACGCAACTGCACAGACAAGGATAAATCATCGCACGAGTGTACAATTAACACTGTTTTTTTTTTTAGTTTTATATTTTATATTCCCAAAACATGTGGAACTAAACTTGATTTTAGGATGTCACCAGCCGAAACTCAAATAGAGAAAGAAAACAAATAGAGTAAGCCGAGTCTGCAAAACTTTTCACACTAGTTTTTTTTATTTGCACTTAGCCTTCTGCGCCTTTGCTTGTAATAAACTAATCTTAACCCCGCTTAGCGTATAGACTTCTTTATCGATCACCTCAGTATGAATTGAGGGATTTAGGTACACACGTACGCCATATGCAACATGAGGGTAGAGCAGGGAAATGGAAACGAGTAAAACTGTTTAAAGAAAATTGGCCAATGCTCCGCAAAAGAACATTCCTGAAAAACCACAAATCGAAAATGGACAATGGACACATTTGATGAGCGAAATACAAGTATTTAACATGTTTAAATTACTGAAAGTAGTATTGCTTTGCTCCTCTGCAGCAAGGGCATCTTCTGGCGAGACCTCAACCTGCTGTTGACGAATTGTACTGATCCCTCGCCCCCCGAACAGAGGCCCTTAAAGGCCAGTCTACACAGTATGGGGTAGACCAGAATGTACGTACTGCTAGCTCCCGCCTGAAAAAAGGTGTAGTCACCTGGCTCTATCCGCCACCATCCCCCCGGCACTTGTTCGCAGGCTAGAAAATAAACCAATTCACTGACAAGTTCTTTTTCATAACGTCAAAATCCGTCGCGAAAATGAAAAAAATGCTTTAAAGTGCCTCAGCCATTTTACTTACTATCTTTTAACCAAATACGTTGCGGAGAAAAGAGATAAAAGGCTGAAAACAGCCTTTCATTTCGATTTAAAATTTCAGATGGAGAATGCCCTTTTCCTAGGTCTGCACCTGCAGTGACTTGTGTGCTAAAACTCCTTCGTGGTGGTATCTCTCAGGCAAAAACGACCGCCTAGCGGCGAGGAGCGAGGAGAGAAGTCCGTGGCCATTTTCGAAAAGAAAAAGAAGTGTAAAGGCAGCACCTTCGTCGCTCAGAAAACGTCTGCGTATATAATTTTCTTCAGGCCGCACAGAGTCATCAATTAATGTGCCTTTACGGACCCCTTTTAAATGAGCAGCCAGCATGGCCAGTAGGCTGTTCTGAAACGGTACAACGTGCTTTGTTCTCCGCCACCCGGAACCAAACATTTAGCGGTGGTGAGGAAAAACTTTTGATTTTATGCGCCAATTTTGTGGATCAAACAAAGTCTGTTAGCTCTAAATGTAGTGATAAAGACATGAATTTTTGTATGTGTAGGGTTGATCCTAAAGGAGAACCCAATGCCAACCAACCCACCCATCTCCTCCTCCTTCCCTAAAGTAGACTTTTCATGACGTTAGCATAATCACCTGAGACCTCTTGTAAAGTTCACTAAAATAATAGCAAGCACCTTCGTAGCCTGTTCACAGACCCTCTACTTTTTCATTAGAGATCGTCGATCTATTTTCTCTTTGGAGATCGTCGATTTTGCGTATGAAAATAAAAGCCGCGGGGGATTTATTGACCAGTAGAGCAAGGGGCTCTCTCTCGCGCGCTCGCTTCGCTCGCGTGCTCGTCTATTTTCGAAACGAAAGAGGAGTGTAAAAGCTGCACATTCGTCGCTCAGAAAACGTCTGCGTATATCATTTTCAGTTCAGGCCATACGCAGTCATCAATCAATGTGCCTTTATGGACCCCTCTATGAGCAGCCAGTAGGTTGATCTAGAACGGTACCACGTGATTTGTTGCACCGCTACCCGGAACCAAACATTTAGAGGTGGTGAGGAAAAACTCTTATTTTCATGCGCCAATTTTGTGGATCAAACAAAGATCACCTAACGTAAATGCAGAAAACCTTACTTTTATCATTAGCATGGTAGGGTCGATGTTTGGTTATTGCCCTACATACTCACGTGACTAACAAGTCAGGAGCATAC